TCTCTCTCTCTCTCTCTCTCTCTCTCTCTCTCTCTTTCTATATATATATATATATATATATGAAATAACAATTACACATAACAAAAAGTAAATATTAGATATTAAAAGTAATTATTACTATTAATTTTTTTATTATATTTTTCTTTAATATGAGAAATAATAAAAAAATTAAAATAATTTTAATTAAATTAAAAAACAATTATAGTTACATTTAATTGATTTGGAAAATTTTGAAAGCTAAAGAAAAACAACAGTATAACTTAAAAAATGAAAATTCTAAGAGAAAATTAACTGACGAAAATTACGGAAATTGTAACTGTAATTGATCTCTACGAGAATTTGTTTTGGACGCAAATTATGTGGCGAATCGCCAGATTCCAGCTTTCCGCTGGTCATGATGTGATATTTAGGGTGACTTCTCTTGTGATTTAATAGTAATAAGCACTTGTGTATCGTCATCATCTGCATTTTAACGAAAGGAAAGTAGACAACATTAATTATTACGCATAATTAATTATTTCTCATTGAAACAACACCGATTGCTCTTCTGTTCGTAATTAGCAACCGTTAGCTGCATAGGACTTGTGAGAGTGTATCGAAACGGAAATCGATCGAGATAATGAAATATCTGCCCGATCGTCGGGGTCTTAATCCGGGCAATGATCCGTTGCGTGCGGCTCTTAATTGGTCAGCCCTCAACGAGCTTGATATTATCCAACGATAAGACTACATGTGCACATTCGAGAAATGAACGATGTAAAGGATGATCTCGCGATTATACTAAATGATATGCTCTTATTAAGTTCTAAATTAATGACTAATTCTTTGTCAAGATTATCTATGAATTTGATTCGTTCATTTTATTTTATTTTGTTTTTGTCAAAAGAAACTTATGATATATTGTTAAATATATTAATACTTACATATAAAAAAAGTGTGTTTCAAATTTATAAATAATTTATATATAACTTTTAAAATCTTAAAATCTAATAATTCATTATTTTTGTTGAAATGAATAAAATTGTTTTAAATATAAATGAGAACAATGTTATGTCCGAAATCCTTCTCCAATTACTACTTTCATTATTATTATGATTAGATATTATTGCAAATTAATAAAAAAGGTAGAATAGCTTTTAAAAATTTATTTATTTCTCTTTTTTCGTTCTTTTCGTTATTTCTTATTCTTTCTTTCTTCTTCAATTCAACAATGTTGTCTTCCAAAAAAATTTAGATAAATTTAAGTACTTTATGATCAAAAAGATTAAATCACGAAAATTCTTTAATAAATTGCGATATTTTATAAATATTGTTATTTTAAATATTGTCCTTTTTTCAAAATTGCTTCAGTAATCCTATGAAAGCATATATAAAAATCCTATACAATCCTGTTTTAATAAAAAAAAATTTTTTAATTTAAAATTTAAAAAGAAACTTCTTTTACTTTCTATTTCCGCTTAAGAGAAAAAAAATTTAATCTTCGCTTACATACGCTAAAGATTAACGTAAAAGAAAATCTTGAAGAAATATAATTAATATAATTAGATATAATTAAATAGTATTTACTAGTGTCTAATTCGGCCCCACCTGCTTGATAGTTTGAGCGTGCGCGCGCGCAAGCACTTATGAAACCTGCGCGGCACGCGGCACGACGACCAGTGCGATTCCTCGTCGCAGTGCGATACGGTCGATAGAAGCAAGCCACGTAGTGTAGCCACGGTGGTTGCATTGAATTGCGGTAGCGAATGCGACGCTGTCGCATTGGCATACTGTCGAGGATCATCCCTGGGCACCATCGATCACTTTACGCGCTTCTCCCTTCTCGACATTGGCACGAGCCCATTCATTCCGCTCGTGGATGCTGGAAAGAAATCGCGGCCGTGTGAATAAAAGTTATAGTTATAAGCTCAGTGTATATCTGTTTTGGTGGAGTGTTTATTGATATTATAAAATTTACTGTATATTGATGCAAAGAATATAATTTTTGCACGAATAATTATCTATATTCGGAGTTACACACACACACACACACACACATATAGTTTACATGCAATTATATCATCTGTTTTACACGGAGAAACATGTTTCATAAAAACTATTGACTGTTGAAGTTTTTATGAAGACTTTTAATAGTTTTGCTATTGTAAAAATATACAGTTTTGTTTTTTTCCTTTGGACCTTGTTTATCGTCGACCTCGAAGACGTAATAACGGTATGGAAATTTTACGCATTTATACGAGTTTATAAGGCTCATTACTAACTCAGAAAACAAAGGCTTTGCAATATGTAAAGAATTCTTAACGAGGTTGCAGATAATTATTGAAAAAAAATCGGAAACGACCGATTCACTACAATCACGTGAACTCTTTTACATTTGCAATTGACGTTTGTTATGTTACGTCTAAAAAAATTTGCATAGATAATTTCAGAATTTCTGACGTAGAAATACGTCGTAATACAATTGTGATACAATTGGAACAGGAAAGTGGTAAAAGAGACATCGAAAAAACTTGTGAAGGAAGGTGTACAAACAAACAGGCTTGAATGAACGTCAGCTAATAATAAAGACTCATGCAAACAGAAGCGATATCGTCATCATTGCCGTGACATTGGACGTTGCTGTGAAAACTGTTTAGGTACCAAACCATTGATACTAGTACTATGAATACTTCATAAATACTGAATTCACGTCACGACTTTCGTGACACAAGGAAACGATAACCTTGGAAAAAAATACGTTTCCTTCTTAATCTTGATTCTAGATTGTTGAATGACAAATTCATTGTAATTTGCGTGAAACAGTTGTTCATTTGTCAAGCATTTCTATCGATTTGGAATAATGCCGGCTACGTCAAAAGTTTTGAGTTTTTTTATTAAATGTCGCGAAGATATATACTTTTGAATCAACTTGATGAAATTGCCTGGACTAGAGTGCAATTTAAGATGTGGATGTAGGTACATCTGCAAGTATCGATCGACCTGCATCTTGAAGAGGATGCTCCCTTTAATCTTATAGGAGCAGAATTTTCATCATAGTCACGTGTCGCGTGAGACGCAGCGAGAAGAGAAACGAGAAGAGACAGTGGGTGGAGAGGAAGAGAGATTCCCCGACAAGCGACGCTACGACGTCGTCATGGAAAATCGATTCACTGCCGACCACCACCCCGCTACAACCACCCGTCGCAGTGCAATGACCTCCAAACCGGGAAGATCTTATAGCGTGAGGTAAGTAGCTTCATAGTAGGAATCGGAGGGTTGCAGCGGAAGAGAAGGCGGGAAAACGATGAGTTTATTCAAGAAAGAGCCTGGTCCCCTCGTAGAAAATAGCCGCAGTTTCATGCGGTATCCCGACGTCTACGACTTTCGCGATGTTTTTCTCTATTTTACTTCCGGTCTCAGCTTTCCGAGAAACGTTTTTAAATCTACGATCTGGATGCTTTTTTTTTCTTTTTGATAGAAAGAAACTGTTCTCTCTCATAAAGCTGATGTTTCACATTTGGTACATGATTTTATTAAGCAAATGTTAAGGAAATGTGTTATATCAATATTTCAATGTTTTTATCTTACTATGATACTAATTTTCAAATATTAATGTAAATGATGTGGTATAATCATTATATGAATATTTGGTTCTATTAGTATTTAACTATTTTATGGAAATTTTAAAAAAATTTTTGAAAACTACATATATTTAATTTGTTAAAGAATATTATTATTATATTATTATTTTTCTTTTAATTATTTATTTAAAATATTTAGTCTACACACACACACACACACACACACACACACACACACACACAAAATATTTTTTTAAAGAATTTATTTTATGTGTTGTTTAATTTACGTATCTAATAATAATAAAAAGACTATAAATTAAAGATAAAATATTTATTAATAAAAATTTATTAATAAAAATATGTGTTTATGCTAATATATGTGGAAGAAATGAGAGAATTTTATTTAAAGATCTTTATGATTCTCTTCTGTTTCCTTTTTCCGAAGTCGGAATTTAAACTGGATATTCTGAAGTTAAAAGCAAGGTCATCTCTTCAGTCAGTACGACGCAAGCACGATACAACAAAAATGCATCTTTTCAAACGCAGTGCCCATAATTCGCATGTGCGTAAGCATGTCTCGCAAAACATTGATTCTTCATTTAGAATACATATAAAGAGACTATTCTTACATTTGATGTTAAATGTAGCTATCTGATTTTAGAAATTGTTTTATACATTCAAAATGATGTGTATATATCAAAGTATATTTTGAATGCACAATATCAAATAAAATTTAAAATTACGCATTCGTATTTAGTATTAAATAAATGACGAAAGTGTGAGATAAAAAATCATGCAGCGTATTATAAATTTATGGCTAAATTCGTTTTAAGTTTTATGTCTTTAAAGAAATAACATATTTAATATTAATTTAAATTAAAAAATTACTATTTTTAACGCTGAATATGTACAGTTGAAATACAAAGCAATTCTGTACATGTGTGTAAGTAATGTGTACTTTTTGATTTCGCGCGTCTTCCAGAAGAATTCGCCGGCGAAATTATGAGATAACTGACAGGCATAATTATTATTTCAAACTCACGGACTTCTTTGTGCACGAATGGGTTTCAATCTTTGAACTTTCTTGGGAATTAAGATCGCTGTCAGAGATCGCTTTGCCAGAGATCTTTCTTCGTGCTTGAATATAAAAAAAATCTCTGTGAATATCATACAAACAGCTTGTAACATTGCATTAAAACAATCTGGTCGTTGAGAAGGCCCTTCATTTACAGATTAAATAATTGCAGCGCACGATATTAAAGATACGAAAGCAAATAATAAAGTTCATCTGCGGAATGTTAATTGTAATAATATTTAATAAATGAATTAATGTAATAATTAACTGATACGATTTTAAGAAAAAAATGATTGTGATTCAACGAATTAATACAGCTTGCCTTTTTTGTTACTATCGACTTTTTCTGTGTCCGATGATTGTTTTTTTTTTATACTTGACCACAATATAACATTGCACTCTCTATATTGTATTTGATCTTAATAATTAAAAAAATATTACAAATACAAACAAAAAACAAGCACGTACTAAAATTTTAATATTAATTTATTATTATCACTTTAATTTTGAAATGTATTAAATTCATTTCATCGTCATAGATGTTTTTCCATGATTTTCTATATGATTAGTGCTGGAATATACATAGATTTTTAATAAAAAAAGATTTTTTCAGAAATGGCAATTATAAAGCCAAGTTATTCTATCAAATTTTTTACATGTATGGAAATCTTCAATGACATATTCGAATGTCTAATTAGAATGGGATTTTGTATATAGGAATTCGAAAAATGGCAATCAATAATCTATCTTAGTTATCACCCACCAATCAGAATTTACCGTTTAATAATTGCGTACGATATGATGGCAATTGGAAGCAAGAAAGATTATCTCTCATTAATTGAACGATTTTCAACGCTAGCCTGTATAATTCAGCTTGATTTTAATTTTAATTTATCTTCATCAAATTCACCCATGCTTTGGATTAGAATAGTACTAGAATAGTACTAGAGTACTGGAGCTTCATAGTACTAGATCACCTACTTTTGAGTCCTTCACAGCGATTTAAGAGGATTTCATTGTGACCGGTAACGGCGGGTTTCCGCCGTTTGTCCAACGGGCGCGCGATGATGTGAATATCTTTTTAACGAAACCTTATGTAACATAATTGAATTCAAAGACGTGATGCATATAAAATTGAACATGAAGATGAGAAATAGAGAAAATAGATTACAGAATAGAATACCATATCGGATTGCTTTTATAATAATAATAAATTACTATAGGATAATGTAATTAATCTTGAAAATATTATTTGATCTATGATAAACATTAATTAAGCGAAAATTAAAATATTTTATATAAGAAAAATTATAATAATGACATACGAATATAATACAATAATACGAATATAATAATATGAAGTATATGGGAAATTGTATTTATCAATACTAATGAACTAATTTATTTCATTTTTATAATTAATCAATTAATAAATCGTATATAAATAAATTTCTATAAATTATCGCGGCATTTAATTTTCATAAATTGCAATTTTTTGAGAGACGTATACATATCAATTTAATATATCCAAAGCACAGTATCATTAATTACGTAACGAATACTTTATATCTCGTATGTTAAAAGAACATTACGTAAAAAGGAAAGGACATGTAACCACGCGAATTACTGTACACTGTGAATAATTGCCTCGAGTTGCTGCATTAGTACATTCAGAATATTGTATATTCTATAGAATTGTATATTCTATAGAAATGTCTTCAGTTTAACTTCCACTTATAAAAAGTACTTGAAAGATCTGTATTTACCAATTATCGATTTTCTGATTAATTTTAAATTAATATGCCAAAAATTAAAGCATCGATAATTTACAAGCTACGTACGTACGATTGAAAACATATAATTAAAAATTTCAGAAAATGAATTTTAAATAATATCATTTAATTGGTTATTTAAATTTTTAAATATTATTTAATTCAATACTTCATTACATGCTAAAGTATATATTGTATTAAACATTAAAAGATTTAATAATATGGTATTGTAAGTAATCTTCCTTAAAACTTTCTCTGAGAAAAGATTGACTAATTTGTTAAAAAACCTGCCATTAAAATTAAAGCTATAACAAGTAGTTTTACTGAAATACATATAATATTTCAGAAAATTTAAAATTTATATTTCCCATTCCATATCGATGAAATGGAAGACAAAAGTTTAGTTTTCGCTATCAAAATGCCATTATAGGAAAGCATTACATAGAAAAAAATCATAGTTTATGAGATTAATGAACAATGATTTTATCGAGCAATATGTATTTTTATTGTCACTGAGTATTATTACGTCAGATTTCAAGCCAATCCTCTCATAGCGAAAGGTGCGGCGTGGGAAGCTTAAGCTTATTCGTCTTATGTATTCCTCTCGCGTGTCTTTTATCCGTTGCTATTACGCTGTTTCGCATTATCGTTCGTAGCTCATCACCGGCATATTGCCCTTATTGCCTATAACCGAGAATTAATTTTCCGATTCTCTGATAGAAATACGTGAACTAATGGATATGCGTGATGCGGTTTCCGAGGAGAATGAATATGAATGAAAAATTAATTTAATCATTTAAGTATTTATCTGAAAAGTTACTATTAATTATTATTTTACATATATGCACAGACATTTATGTAGGTCATAAAAATAATACACATTAATGATAAAATTTTGTAAAGTTTTAGACTTAATGATAACTTGCTGTTCCAGTATTGTAATAATAAAATATATAAAATTCTGTACTTCTGAATTTCTATGTGACAGAATTTTTTTAAATGTTCCACTCATTATATTTTATTAAAAAAAAATTATTATTGATGAGAAAATACAAAAGAGTAAATGAAATGAAATAAATTAAAGATTTATAAATCTTATTAAAATATTTAATACAACGAATAATAATAATTATTTAAATAATAATAAGTAATTAAAAATAATGACAAATGTTTATAGAATAATTAATATATAATTTTTTTACAAAAAGAAAGTTTTTCAAAAGCTTTTCTATTACGTAATGAATACACAATCTTGATCTTTTAATAAATTATTTTTTAGTGTTGAAATAAATTATTATTAAAATAAGAAATAAGAAATTTAAAATAAGAAATTTTATAAGAAAAAAGCAATTGATTTCCTTGCACAAATTATACATACAAAATAAAGTCTTAAATTTAATATATATCCTCTAATTTGTACTTGCTGATCAGCCAATCTGATGAGTCAATAACAAATTAATCTTCCGTTTTGGTTTTTTGATGTCAAACATTTCTGTACATATAGTTTTTCTTTTAGGAAGAGAAATTAAATACATTTGCTAACTTTACGTGAAAATTATAAATTAAAAACTAACATTATTGCAAACCAGAAATTATTACTAGGATTAATTTTTAAATTGATTAGTAATATTATACTTGGTATACAATTTTATCAGTAGGAACTAAAATATTTTTAAAATATTTTTCAATTTTATTTTTTGAAAATTTGGAGAATAATGTTTTCTTTCATTACTTATTATTATTATATATTTTTTTTAGAAATAGATAAAGACGCTAACTTTAACATTTATATATATTATATTAACCGCTGAAGAGACG